CCCCAAAACCCCAAAACCCCAAAACCCCAAAACCCCTATATTTAAATCGATTTTTGAAATACTAAAATAATATAAGAAAGATGTCTAAAGCATATTCTATTGGAAAGGCAACTAGGAAGAGTAAGCTATACTATTCTACCCAATTCTTTCCAATTTCTGTCAAATCTCTTGCAGAGATTTGACAGGATTTGTCAATTTTTGGACCAGAAAAGCTTATTGCTGTTCCAAAATTTCTTAAGCCTTTCAAACAGATAATAAAGTTTCATCTAATTCTTAAACTTAGTGGGTAAATCATCCAGCATGAGCTCGCTGGGCCCAGGCCCAGCTGCTTATGGAGATAATTACAAATAATATTAAGGCAAAGGTAAGTTTTATGACTCAATTTAAAGGCTCCAACTTGGAAGTAAGGAGTTGTAGAAATACATACAGGTTAGGATCAGGAGTTAGGCAAGTGATGAACGCTGCTGGAAGAACGCCAGGCCCTGGAGCATATAATTCTGGAGACCAGAAGTATATATTTGATTAAGATTTAGAAGCAAAGGGCCTGCTTATGTGATGGGGGTTCAGACAAAATCAAATTTGACTCAAAGAAATCCAGGACCAGGTGCTTATTCGACCTCAGATTTAATGTAAGAGAATCTTTAATGAAGCTTTAACTTTTGTAGGGGAGATAAAGGAAAGGGTCATTCGTAAGCAAATGTTCATAATTGCTAGGTTCGGAGGCAAAACCCATTTTTCTCAAACAGGAAAACAATTCCCAGGACCAGGCTCATACAACATTAACTCCACAATTCCCGTCAACAAAAGTGGGAAAAGTTTTGGAAAACAGAAAAGAGTTTATTCAATAGACAGGAATGTAGTGATTGCATGTTAATGCTCTAGAGCCCAGGACCAGCGCAATATCTAACCTCTACCAACTATACAAAGACTTCTGCTCCAAAATTTGGTTGATTTCTGATTAATACTTTATAGGCTTTGGAACTGATAATAAAAATACAAATAAGAAATATAAAGTTACTAGCCCTGGACCAGGAGCATATAATCATAAAACTCAGGGTAGGAATGCACCAAGAGGTCTCTTAATCCCGAGAAGACCAGAGTCTGCTCCTTCCAAAGGAAGGGGAACTCCTGGCCCAGGCCAGTATACAACAAATCTCTACACCAAGAAGAATGCTCCTAAATATGGAATGGCAGGGGGTGTTGCCAGAAACTCAGCTAGGAATCAAAGAGTTAAGAGTCCTGGCCCTAATAATTACAATCCAAATGGTGGCCAAATCTTGCAGAAGAACCCAACTTGGAAGATTGGAACTGAAAAAAGAAGGCCTATATCAGCTAGAAATGGAACTCCAGGCCCTGGAAATTACACAATTACTTCATGCAAATCAGGACCAGCTGTAATTTATCAGTCAGGATTATGTATAGTATGGAATCACAGGAAAAAGAAAACAACACAAAAGAACTAATACTCCAGGACCAGGCCAATACATTCCTCATTCAGATTCTATCAAAACTTCAGGCCCAAGATGAAAGTAAGGTTTAAAAGTTTATAGTAGAATCGGGACTGAAAGTAGAAGAGGAGAAATGGGCAAGAAAAAGGTAAGCATAACCCAATCCTTAATATTCAATCGTCATAGCCTGTGCCTGGACCTGGCCAGTACGATAATCCTAAAACTAAATTGATCAAGGCAGCTCCTTCCTTTGGGTTTGGAACTGGCAACAGAGAGAACACATACAAGAAAGGGCTTCCTGGACCTGGTCATTATCACATCCCTTGCAAGGTTGCAGACGTGCCAAGATATCAAAACACTAAGCAGAAGGAAGAGTTTAGGTTCATTTAGCTTTTATGCATAAATTCAAATATAAAAGGAAGAAAAGGGGTTTTGGGGTTTTGGGGTTTTGGGGTTTTGGGG